CTAGTTTATTTCTTGTCCCTAAAAATAAGGGACAATATTGTTATGTTATGTTATGTTATGTTATGTTATGTTATGTTATGTTATGGTTATGTTATGTTATGCTATGCTATGCTATGCTATGCTATGCTATGCTATGCTATGCTATGCTATGCTATGCTATGCTATTTATATGTTATGTTTTATGTTATGTTAACTAGATTACATTTATTATATTATTATATTGATCCCTGGAACACAGAATATAGAATACATTCTATATGCTGGTAGTCCTTGACTTATGAACATAATTGAGACTGCAATTTTGGTCATAGGCTGTGATGGTCGTAAAATGGATAATCAAATGACCACACCTGATTTCACAACCTTTTCTGTGGCAGTGAATGTGATGGTTGTTAAGTGGACACGGCGGTCGTTGAGCAAACCCATTGTTTGTTATGGAACAGTTTTTGCTAGAAACCAGAAGTAAATCCTGGCTTCTGGCAAATATGTTGTAAATTGTGGCAGCCTTGAGTAATGGTATTAAAACCAGTCCAGTACTTAGGGGCTAATTACCATGCAGAGGGAACATCTCAAACTGCAGTTTTGTGGCTCACTGGCTCATGAGGTGTAGCAACTTTGAAGAAAATTGAGGGACTCATATTTTGAGCCCCAACAGCTTTTTTTACTGTCAAAATATGTGCCATGTTCCTATACTGCAGATCAACAACTTCTGACTCATAGACCTTACCTGGCCTTCAGAGCTTCAATGAAGACCTGTTAGATAACCAATCAGTTCAAGACATGGAGTTCAAGAGCTTCCATTTCACCACAACCACCCCAGTTAAACAAGACAGGAAACGCATCTAGGTGAGCTACATCCATTTTATTATGCAGTTACATTAACAGAACGTTATAAAGTCTGAAAGTAAAAAACCTCTCACCACCACTTTGCTTGGTCCATTAGTGTGAGTTTTTTTCTAGGTTTCTTTCTCTGACTATTAAGCCACTGGGGGCTTCTGCCCCTCTTATCGGATTGTTTCCTAGGCAGCAACTCTTCCCCCCCCCACTTTCCCCAAGGTCAGCCAGGTATTCCATTACAGGTATGATGTATGAAGGGGAAGGGATTCAGAAGAGGAGGCTTCCTTTTCTGGGGGGGGGGGGAACCCCTGCTGTTCCCTCCCTTTATCTCTGGCATCACCTGGTTTACCAAGGGCCTGGATAAATTAGTTTTTCCAATGGATTAGTAGTTCCCAGGCTGTTTTCGGCTACGGGTTTAAGATATTGCACAGTAGATTCAGTGGCCCTGTTGATTATACCACATAAAAAGAGGAAAAGAAGGGAAGAAGATCTAGGTCACAATAATGGAAGAGTCGCTTTTTAAACCAAGAACCTGAGGCAAGTCAGGAATTAATTAAGTGCCAGGGGCACAGGGCTATATTGTTACGGATAGCCTCCACAAGGAGAGGGCAAAATGATAGGTATCAGAGGGCTTACTCGTTCTCTTTGATAGATGCATTCCGCCAAGCTCACATATTGCTTAATGGGAGAATATAGCTCTGCTTTTTGATGAATGGGAAATGGAGTCGTGATTGTTACCATGAGACCAATTCATCAACATGCCCTTATTATAGGTCGGCCTATAAAATGATCTGTACTGTCCTCGATTTATGACCATAATTGGAGCCGGAAATTCCATTGCTAAGCAAGACAGTGGTTAAAAATGAGCTCTGCCTGGTTTTGCATGTTTTGCCATGGTTGTTAAGTAAACCTCTGTGGTTATTAAATGAATTGCATGGTTGGTAAGTGAATCTGGCTTCCCCCGTTGATTTTGCATGCCGGAAGATGGCTGGGAAAGTCGCAAATGGTGATCACATGATCTCGGGACACTGCAACTATCCTAAATACATGTTGGTCGCCAAGCTCCAGAATTTTGATCGTGTGACCATGGGAAAGCTGCAAAGCTCATAAGTACAAGCACCAGTTCTAAATCACTTTTGTCAAAGTTTAGGATTGCATCAAACAATTTTGAAGGAATGGTGAGTTACAGTAGATGGAAGAAGAAAGCAGTGCCGAAGTGGTGGTGAAAAGAAAAATAATATTTGCAGAACACGCTAATCAAGGAGAGAAGCAACCTAGAACTAAGGAGAAATTTCCTGACAGTAAGAACAATTAATCAGTGGAACGACTTGCCTCCAGAAGTTGTGAATGCTCCAACACTGGAAGTTTTTAAGAAGAGATTGGACAACCATTTGTCTAAAATGGTATAAGGCCATGATGGTGAACCTATGGCACATGTGCCAGAGGTGGCACGCAGCACTCTTTCTGTGGGCACGCAACCTGCTGCCCCAATTCAACCCTGCCACGCATGCACGCATGCCTCCCGCCAGCCAGCTGGTCTTCGGGTCTCTGCCACACATGCGCGGAGGCGGGGAGTGTCTGGGCCACCCGCCCCTGCATTCATGGGGTGGGACGTGTGGATGGGGCGCGTGCACAGGGCCTGCCGTGCATTGCATTTTGGGGGTGCTTTGGGCAATTCCTACTATGGCTCTGCCTGAAGGAGGTAGATCTTTGTTATGTAGAATAGACTGGTCCAGGCCTTAATGGCCCATTGACAAAGGTGGAGGGGACTGAGTTTCTGCCTCCCTTTTAGAGGAAATATTCTGCCCTTTTAATATTTCCTAAAATGTCTCATTTTTCTAGGAGAAGGCTGGGCAGTGGTGAAATCCAAATTTTTTTACTACCAGTTCTGTTGGCGTGGCGTGGTGTGGCTTGGTGGGCATGGCAGGGGAAGGATACTGCAAAATCTCCATTCCCACCCCATTCCAGGGGAAAGATACTGCAAAATCCCCATTCCTTCCCCACGCCTGGGGGAAGAATATTGCAAAATCTCCATTCCCACCCCACTCTGGGGCCAGCCAGAGGTGGTATTTGCCGGTTCTCTGACCTGCTCAATATTTCTGCTACCGGTTCTCTAGACCTGTCAAGACCTGCTGGATTTCACCCCTGGGGGTGGGTGCTAACTTCCTACAATATCATTTCTCAATATATATTTTTCTTCAAAAAAAAAACAAAACCACCCTATAGCCTTTTGAAACAGCAAAGGCTCTTTGATTTCACTGAAGTGACCTGTTTGGGTTATTTGGGGAAAAGGAACACTTGTGTAATTGAAATCTTCACTGTTCCGGCACAACTATTAACCAATTCCGCAGGGAGCTCCCTTAATTAACCCTTCTGCAGTATTTAATTCATTGGAGACTTCTCAAAGATTTCTTAATTAGGTCTTTAAAAATAAGGCAGGGATGTGCAGAGTGTTCTTGGAGAGTAAGTGCCAGGCCTTTTTCTGCAGAAGAGGGTGGGCCTCCTTCTTCCTCCATCCCCAGATTCTTTGTGCCCTATTGCTCCTGTGGTCCTTTCCTATTTCACTCTGCAAAAAAAGAAGAACAACGCTGGGGAAATTTAAAATACAGGGCAGTTTGACTAGAAAAGGGCAGCTGGATGAATCAGAATTTTAATAAAACCAGCGACAACAAAAGTAGAGCTGGCAGATCCAAATAGCCGGATGCACCCATTGGTAGTAATAGAAAGGTTAATTTAATGCAATGGTTCTGAAATTAAAACCTGAATGGAAAAGATATCAGAATATCAGAAATAGACACAAGGACAGTTTTTTCCTGAACGCCATCACTCGGCTAAACAAATAATTCCCTCAACACTGTCAAACTATTCACTAAGGCTGCATTACTATTACTATTAATCTTTTCATCGTTCCTGTCACCCATCTCCTTCCACTTACGACTGTAACTTATTGCTGGAAGTAGTGAGAATCCCCATAAGAAGACCAACGCCCTTCACCATTTCATGTCAAAAGCATCTTCTATCCATCTTCATGGAGTGCAACAATAATGCATCTGGATGGCTGTTGTTTTTCTGTATTGCCTTATGGACCACAAGATATAAAACAGATTTATGGAGCCCTAAGTCTGAACATAAAACCTTGCTTGTGACTCATCAGTCTGCAAACGCTGGAAAGATAAAACCGTAGTCTGTTCTATGGCTAGATTTCTAGTGCACCATTTGTCCATTGATTTATGTATCGTAAATATTTTTATCCTGCCGTTTTTCAACTGTTAAGTCTGGATGATATAAATATTTCGGTGCACCACCCTTGTTCCTAGTTTCCAAGATGCAAAAGTGGTGTTCAAAATTAAACTGAATACAATATAGTTAAAAGGATAAGACAGGGGTGTCAAACTCGATTTCATTGAGGGCCGCATTAGGGTTGTGTTTTACTTCAGGGGCCGGGGTGGGCATGGCCGGGTGGGCGTGGCCAGCTTGACATCACTTGTGTTGGGGGCATCTGTGGTGGCCGAAGCACTCTGCCAGCAAAAACGGGCTCCAGAGCTCCATTTTCAGCTGCGACGGCCTCCTGCTGCCCTCTGCCAGTGAAAACGGAGTTCGGGGGAGCTGCACATGGCCCTCCCAATCTCCATTTTCTCTAGCAGAGGCACTGTGGACCGGTCCTTTGCTGTTTCTAGGGTGGCCCCATGGGCCAGGTTTAAGCACCCTGCCAGCCGGATCTGTCCCCCAGGCCTTGAGTTTGACACCCCTGGGATAAGACGTCAGACGTTAAAATATTATCATTCGGGGTAACAAACATTAGCCAACTTGCTTCTACAGACCTAAAATGCCTGAAGAAACATTAGATAATGATGTGATTCTGAAGAGAGGTTGAGATGACACAATAATGCTTGCCCTGCCTGTAATGACAATGCCGAAAGTCTACAGGTAGTACTTCACTTACAGTCATTTGTTTAGCAACTGTTCGAAGTCACAGTGGCACTGACAAAGGTGACTTATGACAGTTCCTCACATTTATGGCTGTTGCAGCTTCATGTGGTCAAAATTTGGGCACTTGACAACCAGCATGTATTTATGACAATAAATAGCAGCATCTCAGGGTCATGTGATCACCATTTGTGACCTTCCCAGCCAGCTTCCAACAGGCAGTCACTGGGGGGGGGGGAAGCTGGATCTGCTTAATGACCACATGATTCACAGCTGTAGTGATTCACTTAACAACCATGGCAAAAAAAAAGGTTATGAAATTGAGCATGACTCACTTAATAAAACCAATGGAAATTCTGGTCCCAGGTGTGGTCAAGGTCATAAATCAAGGACTATCTGAGTGTATTGATTCCTGAGAGGGAGTCAAGCTACTCTCCAAAGCACCTGAGGGCAGGACAAGAAGCAATGGGTGGAAACTAATCAAGGAGAGAAGTAACTTAGAACTAAGGAGAAATTCCCTGACAGTTAGAACAATTAATCCGTGGAACAACTTGCCTCCAGAAGTTGCGAATGCTCCAATACTGGAAGTTTTTAAGAAGATGTTGGACAACATTTGTCTGAAGTGGCATAGGGTTTCCTGCCTAAGCAGGGGGTTGGACTAGAAGACCTCCAAGGTCTCTTCCAATTCCGTTATTCTGTTCTATTCTATTACGTTTCTTTCCTTATTTGACAAGTAATGAGGAGGAAACATTTTGTTTGCAAAGATTGGGGAGGGACCTGAGATGAAAGCCCAAAGGATCCATCACCAAATATACAAGCATGTTCTCCACATAGCTAGAGTCTCACCCAGCAGGAGGAACAACCATTTTACTGTATTCCAAATTTAAACAGAGGACAAACCACATTCCATTGTTTCAACTGGTTCATAATGATTACGTTGCATATGGAGAAGAAGAGCCCTTGTTTGACAGATCTGCCTTCTGCCCCCGCTAGATTCCTTGGTTGGCAGGCTCTCATGGCGATTCTGACATGAGGAAATTGGAGCACATTTTCAATGCCAAGACAAGACGTCCAATCATGGAAGTGTTGCCGCTGTCACCATCGACTTAACATGGAGGATGTGTCAATTTCAGGCCTTTTCCTTCTTTGCAAGAACGGAAGTGGGAATAAAGGTAGAAATGTCAGGTTGCCATTCTCCCTGAAAGTCATAGCTTTTGTTCTCAATGCCTGAAACAAGAGGTTCCAAGAAGAGTCAAAAATAAGTGAAAAACAAAGAAACTGCCATTTCTCTACATGTCCAATAGTCTCAAAAGTAGTCCAAACTTCATGGGACCCAAAACCTCTCTATAAATGCAGTCAATAGAAAAGGGGCTGCCATTGGAGCATGCCCAGTTTACAAAATGGTTGCCACAGTAGAAGTGGTTGGTTACAGAAACCAACATACTGAAGAACAAATGAGGAAAGGTGTTTATTATCGCTGCTCGACAGCCAGTTTGGTCTAGTGGTTAAGGCACCAGGCTAGAAAGCAGGTGATTGTGAGTTTAAGTCTTGCCTTAGCCGTGAAAGCCAGCTGGGTGACTAAGGCCCAGTTACTCACTCTCTCTCAACCCAACCCAACTCACAGTGTTGTTGTTGTGGAGAAAATAGGAGGAAGGAAGATGTGTGGGATATGTTTGTGGCTTGAGTTATTTAAAAATAATAATAAAGATGGAATACAAATAAATAAATAAATATCCCACAGCTTACTTCGGTTGTGTGTCTTTGGGGGAAGATGGCAAATGACCACACACATTTGATGATATCTCACAAAAGATATGAGTTATATTTGGCTTAGGACCTGGTTACTTACGGGACCACCTACTACCATCAACAGCCTCCCACCGACCAGTACGCTCCCACAGAGAGGGGCTCCTCCGGGTGCCGTCGGCCAAGCAATGTCGGCTGTCAGCCCCTAGGGGAGAGCCTTCTCTGTGGGGGCACCGACGATCTGGAATGAGCTCCCCCCAGAGATACGGAGGATTCCGGATCTGCGCACCTTCCGCCACGAGTTGAAGACGCTTTTATTTCATCAAGCTGGCCTCGCCTAAATCTTCTCCCTTTTAAGTGTAAATTTAAAATTTTTAATGTATTTTAAAATTATGGGTATTTTAAATTATGGGTATTAATTCAGCCAAATTTATTTAATTCATTTTATTCGATTTTAAATTTTGTATATCTATGTGTTTTATTTCATGGCTGTGCACCGCCCTGAGTCCTTCAGGAGTAGGGCGGTATAGAAATTCAATAAAATAAATAAATAAATAAAATATTTTTCTGGGTGATGCCATCATGGCTTGTAACAGATGCCTATAAATTCACTTTAGACTTTTCCTTAAGTCAAGTATGCACATTTACAAAAAAAAAACTGGACAGCATCCACTCGCCATATTTATCCTCTAACAATACTTATGGTGGTTATGTGAAATCCAAGGCCATTCTGAGAAATAAATATGGTTTTTGGAAGGTGGTGGGCTGCAGCTTGCTGTGTAATTTGGTTTAAAGTTAAAATAAACTTTAATTTGTTTTTTAAAAAAAGCGAAGTGGAAAGAGGCAGGCGGGGGGGGCTAGTATGTACCAATATAGACATGTGTGAGCACATGTGTGAGCTCGTGGGTGCCACAATAGGGATCCCAATGGTTATTTATTTTTAAACTATGCTAAACTAACATTCTCCATCATTTCCATTTAATAAAAGATTTGTACTCCCTCAAAATGGGGAGGGTTTTTTTGCAGCTAATTTCTCTGAAGTGGTTTCGGAGGGCAGCTTGACTTCTTCTTTTTTTAAACGAGGCAAGCAAAGATTTTGAAATTAATGCAATGTCCAAAATACTTTCCTACTGGAAATACCAACAATTATGGCCCTTGGCAGGTCCTCCTGCCCTGTTTCCTGAGTGACAAGGCCCGTGGGAAACTATACAGCCTTAGACTCAGGGGTCTCGTTGTCTGGGAAACCTGCTGAATGTCGCATGAAGGGAGGCTTAAAACTCCTTGCCCATTTCATAAAAATAAAAGGAGCTCCAAGAAAATAGTCTCCATCCACAGCCTCCAGTACATTTGCTTCCACAGAAAAATCTGGACTGGAAAATCGGGCCTCTCTTTTGTCAGAAGACACAATGCTGTTTATTGCCTGGGCGAAAGACCATTTCAGACAAACAAAAGTGTTTTTCTACAATAGATTGCAAACAGAAGGGATTCTCTAAGCCAGAGAGCCTGGCTGTCCACATCTGTGTTCTTCTCTACCAAGAAACAAGAATGGCTCTCCTGCCCATCTTCAGGCTTAATTTCTAGAGATTTTGAGGAATATTATATTATATTATATTATATTATATTATATTATATTATATTATATTATATTAATTTCCCACTTTTATTATTTTTACAGATGACTCAAGAAGGCAAAAATATCCAACACACTTTCCACCTCCTATTTTCTCCACAACAACAGTCCTGTGAGGTAGGCTGGGCTGAGAGAGAGAGATAGAGAGCAACAGGCCCAAAGTCACCCAGCCAGCTTTCATGGCTAAGGTGGGACTTGAATTCACAGATTCCTACTTTCTAGACTGGTGCCTTAACCACTATTAGACCAAACTGGCTCTCTTTTATTATTTATTCATTATACAAATTTGTATGGCAACCCAACCCACACATTTAATGACCGCATGATTCATTTAACAATTGCAGTGATTCATTTAACAGCTGTCATAAAGTGGGGTGCAATTCACTTAACAACTGCCTAACTTAGCAATGGAAATTTTGGACTTAATTGTGGATGTAAACTGAGGAGTATCTGTACCTCTGTGGCCTGGTCATGCAATTTACTGGATTATGCAATTTGTGTACTTTTGCTTTAGTATGTTCTATGAATGCACCCCATTGTGATATATTTCATCGGATTATGGTATAGTGCAGTGGTGTCAAACTCGATTTCATTGAGGGCCGCATCAGGATTGTGTTTGACCTGGGGGAGTGAGTGTGGCCGGGGTGGGCATGGCCAGCTCATTGTCACTTGTGTCAGGGGCGCCTGTGGTGGCCCGAGCACTCTGCCAATGAAAATAGGCTCCCGAGCTCTGTTTTTGCCTGCGATTGCCTCTTGCAAACCCCTGCCGGCAAAAACAGAGCTTGGGAGGGCCACCCACAGCCCTTGCGAGCTCCATTTTCATTGGCAGAGTCACTGCAGGCCGGTCTTTCGCGGTTTCCAGGGCAGGGGTGAAATGCTCCCGGTTCGGACAGGATCACCGGATCCGATAGTGATGGAGGCGGGTGGTTCGGAGAACCAGTAGCAAAAATCCCTGCCCCTCCCCCCCACATGCCCAGCTGAGCCACACAATCATCAGAGGCCTTTTTTTTTACTTTTAAAAGCATTTTTTCTACAACCTCTTCGGCCAAAAAAATGCTTTTAAAAGTAAAAAAAAAGCCTTTGATGATCGCGGGGCTCAGCTGGGATCATCAAAGGCTTTTAAAAGAAAAAAACCCTTTTTTTCTTTTAAATGCCTCTCCCGATCCAAGCTGAGTTGCCTGAACGGCAGAGACTTTTTTTCTTTTAAATGCCTCTAATGATCAGGCAACTCAGCTTGGATCGTCAGAGGTATTTAAAAGAAAAAAACCCTTTTTTTCTTTTAAATGCCTCTAACGATCAGGCAACTCAGCTTGGATCGTCAGAGGCATTTAAACTTTTAAATGCCTCTGACGATCCAAGCTGAGTTGCTTGATCGTCAGAGGCATTTAAAAGAAAAAAAGTCTCTGCCGATCAGGCAACTCAGCTGGGATCGTCAGAGCCTTTTGAAAGCATTTTTTACAACCTCTTCGCTGAAGAGGTTGTAGAAAAAATGGTTTTAAAAGTAAAAAAAAAAATGGCCACGCCCACCCAGTCACATTACCTCCCCCCACCAAGCCACACCCACAGAACCGGTAGTAACAAATTTTAGATTTCACCCCTGTTCCAGGGTGCTGGGTACGCTCCCGCTGCGAACCGGTAGTAAAAGTAAGTAGAACCCACCCCTGATCTGTTTCCAAAACAATTAGCTTGTAGTTTTTTCCTCTGCTCCCCAAAAAAGGAGCAACCCTTCTGTTTTTTACTTGGAAAGTTGAAAGAAAATCAGAAACCTGCAGATTTCTCAATTGAAATTAGAGTGGTCATCTCTCCATCTTTCCCAGTTTTATCCAAAGCTGCTGAGAAGTGAATTTTAATCAACCTTCAGTGCATCTGAGCTACAGTATGATCTTTCTTGGCCCAGATTTAACGAAAGAAATCTTGGAATGTAGGATAAAAGTCTTTGGAGTACAAGAGGTTCTGAATGCAGCCTTCCTTTGGAAAGCTCTATAGATAATGTCATGAGCCCAACAGGCTCCAATTCACCACATCAACAACATTTTAAATGGCACAAGATACTTTATTGCATTCACTGCAGCAGCTGAATGCAGTCAGCCCTCCAGGAAAAAAAAAATAGCTGTGTTCAGAAAAGACAGAATCAGGTTATTGAGCTGACCTGTTTTCTGAATTCCCACAATACATTAAACAATAACTGGACCATAATGGCAGTTTGCACAGTGCATTGAGCTCCTACCCCAGCCCAATATTAAATGCATATTGTAAAAATGTGTTTGTTATGTCTGCATCTATCTTGATTAATTGTTGGTGAAAACCACCTAATAACTGGAAGTTCTGATGCTGCCTCTCCTTCTCAATATCTAAGACTATGCCTAGTAAGGGAGCAACTTAAAGTGTCAAATTCTTTTGCAAGTGGATTTATATGTTGTTTTAACTTCCCTAACTTTACTCCTAGAAACTGCAAAGCAGCTAAACCACTTCAAAAGAGTTTTTGATGGTTTGGACAAATGTAGTCCAGTTTCTAGTTTATCCAGTTTAGGGAATATTGTTGAGAAGGTGGCAGGCTGACAGCTCCAAAGGTTTCTGGAGGAAGCAGATGATCTGGACCTGTGACGGTCAGGGTTCAGGCCAGGACATATCGCTGAGATGGCAATGAACGGTTGCAGGAACTGGACATGGCTACTCTAGCGAAGAGAAGTACCAGGGGAGACATGATAGCAGTGTTTCAATATTTGAGAGGCTGCCACAGAGAGGAAGGGGTCAAGCTATTTTCCAAAGTACCTGGCAGCCAGACAAAGAATAATGGATGGAAACTGATCAAGGAAAGATTCAACCTAGAAATGAGGAGAAATTTTCTGACAGTGAGAGCAATCAACCAATGGAACAGCTTGCTTTCAGAAGTTGTGAGTGCTTCATCACTGGAAGCTTTCAAGAAGAGACTGGGACTGTCAAAAATGGTGTGGGGTCTGCTGAGGCAGGGTGATTGGACTAGATGACCTACAAGGTCCCTTCCAACTCTGTTAATCTGTATCTTTGACAGGATTTCTGGTAGACGCAGGATGGAGTAGTGCATCCATTCTGGCCCTGCCTGATCTATTAATGGCTTTTGATAGGATTGATCATAGTATCTTTGTGGACCCGTTGAGAAGGTTGGGAGTGGGAGACAGGTACTTCTCTTCCTTACATTCCAGTTGCTGTTCAGTGAGGGGTGGGGAGAAAGGTGGGGAGGGAAGGTCCAACTCTAGACTTCTGCTATGTGGGGTTATGCAGAGTTTGGTATGCTGTCTGGTCTTATTTAACATTTACACGAAACCTCTGAGTGAGATCATCTGTCAACACAGGTAAGTATTTTGAATATACTGATGATAATCAGTTGGACATCTCAACCCCACACTGCCAAGATGCTTTCCTATGCCTAGGGCAATGGTTCTCAACCTTGGCAGCTTTAAGATGTGTGGATTTTAACTTCCAGAATGGGAAAAATTGCCAAGATTGAGAAAGAATGACCTGGATAGAGAAGAACTGACCAGCTCAACTCTGAAAAAGATTGAATGACTGTGAGTTGTAGGGGTCCTCAGATCTAGTAGCTTTGTACTGTTAACTCTGAATGAGTGAGAGATCTGGAGGTTCTCTTGGACTCAAAACTCCTGCTCAAGGCAGCCATGGCCAGGAGAATTACTGCACAAATAGGTTTTGTCCTCCAGTTCTCCCCATTCTTGGATCAGGAAGCTCTACTCATGGTCACTCATGCCTTAGTAATCCCCCATTTGGATTGTTGCAATGCATTCTACATGGGACAGCCCTTGAAGACTATCGAGAAGCTTCAACTGGTCCAGAATGCAGTGGCCAACGCCATATAACACAGATGCTATCTGAGTTGTACTGTCTTCCCAGTGCAATTCAGGCTTCTATTTGTCATCTTTAAAACTCTGCATGGCATAGTACCAATTTATTTGCACGATGGTCTCTCCCCAGTGATTTTGGCCTGCCCATCAGATCTGGCAGACTGGGTATGCTCCAGATGCCATCAATAAAACAAAATTATCTGGCAGCTCCCAAAAGTACTGTATGCTCTTTCTATTATGGCACTTGTCCTATGGAACAGCCCTCCCCATAAGTACAGCCCCTACCCTTCATGTCCCAAGGACATGAAGATGTGATTCTTTCTCCAGACATTGGGTCTGGATGCTAGCATGGAAGCTCTGGTAGGGATGTGTATGCATAGTGGTTTTGTGTTTTTATTGAGCTTCAGTTATAGTTGGTTTTTTTTTGTTTTAATGAAAGTGTATGTTTTTATTTTATTTATGGCCCAGAGTTTCTTGGATAGATGGGAGGTCATATAAACTGGATGGATGGATGGATGGATGGATGGATGGATGGATGGATGATAGATAGATAGACAGACAGACAGACAGACAGACAGATAATAGATGGATAGATATAGACAGAGATAGATGATAGATAGATAGAGACAGATAGATGATAGCGACAGAGAGACAAATATAGACAGACCCAGATGATAGATAGATAGATAGATAGATAGATAGATAGATAGATAGATAGATAGACAGACAGATATGATATCAGTCTTGGTGCAAAGTAGTATTTAAGTTATGTTTTCATGGTATTTTAATGCAAAACCAGAGTCACATTCAATATATCATGTTCTCATTCTACGAATTAAAAGAAAAAGACTGACCTTGCCCTGATGTTGCTGGTGGTGTTGTTGGTGCTGCAGCTTTCTTCGAATCTTCCTCAATATGAATAGCAGTCAGGAGGAAACAGCCTCCTCCGAGGACACCAACAAAAATGCAAACCACAAAACTGTATTTCAGACTCTGGAAATCCCAGAGAGTGGAATTATCTCTTTGGTACACCTTGATTGTATTTGCAATCTATAGGTTGAAAGGATTTATGTCACCATCAGGTACAAGCTGCAAGTGATCTCACATTCCAAATCACATCTCTGGAATATCTAACACAGGCAAACCCTCCATGTCAGGAGTCACACTGACAATATTTTGGAAAATAAGGACTATATGTGACAGAGGATAATGCAGACTGGGCAGAGTTAGGTTATGAAAATAGACAGAAGTAGAAATGGGGGTAGGAATAGTCCTATGTTAAGGGAAGAGTTCTTTCAATTACATGCCTCTATTTACATTCTCCAGTTCTTCACATTTTGAAATATTATATAGAATTATAGCAAACTGTACAGTTTCCTGATTTCTATTAACCTTGAAATGCTGAGAATCCCCTAAGATACTCATTGTTCCTTTCAGCAAAAATCGAATTATATAAATTGTTAGAAATCTCCCCAGCTGTTTTCAACATGTTATTTGTATTTGTCATATGTTCACAAAACTAAAGAAACATCTGAATGCTGGTTATGAATTTAAACGTCCTGGCTGCAAAGTTGCCATTCCTTTTGAATACCAAAGCCCATGGCAAAGAATAAAGGTGAATTTTACAATCAGATCCTGTCCTCCACAGTAGTAATGATGGCTATGGAATATCCATAGCACTTAGATTTATACACCACTTCACAGTACTTTACAGCCTTCTCTAAGTGGCTTACAGAATCAGCATATTGCCCCCAACAATCTGGATCCTTGTTTTACTGACCTCGGAAGGATGGAAGGCTGAGTTAATCTTGAGCCTGGTGAGAATCAAACTATTGAACTGTTGGTAGCCGGTAGTCAGCAGAATTAGCCTGCAGTACCAAAGGTGGGCTTCACATAATTTAACAACCGGTTCTCCCCAGCACCGAAAATGTGAGCGTGTGCATGCGCATGCTCACTTAGCTCACACACGTGCCTTCCATGCATACGCGCGGCCTTCTGTGCACGTGCTTTGCTTGTGCACTGGCTAAATAGGACGGCATAGCGCCTGAACTGGTACAAACCGGCTGAATCCCACCCCTGCATTCTGTCCACTGCACCATCATGGCTCAATGGTGCAGTGAGATGAATGGCCCTCACAGCTCTACAACCTTAAAGCCAGGATTGCTACTTTCCCAAAGCAAAATCCAACTCTAGTTTATTAGAAAGCTAATCCATCAATAGGAAGGGTCTCTAAAACCCAAATAAAATGAGTTTATGTTGCAGTATTTCCTTATGACTGTATGGCTGTAATTTTGTTGCTTGTATCCTTACAATTTATATTGATATTGTTTCCTGATTGCTTATTTGTACCCTATGACTATCATTAAGTGTTGTACCTTATGATTCTTAATGAACATATCTTTTCTTTTATGTACACTGAGAGCGTATGCACCAAGACAAATTCCTTGTGTGTCCAATCACACTTGGCCAATAAAAAATTCTGTTCTGTTCTGTTCCGTTCTGTTCTATTCTATTTTCATCCCACCAAAGACATGCTTTCTTGTCACCCATCCATCCAGCCCTGTCCCATCTAGTCCACAAATCCTGCCATAACTTACAATTCCAATGAGGTAGGGGCTGCCAGCATCACCCAGCAAATGGCTCATAAAAATTTGAAGAGAAAGTGCAGTTGATTGACAGGCGGGTTTCACGACATACTGAAAAAACCCCCAAAGAAATTGTGTCAACAGTTGGCAGAAATGCATTACAGGTAGTTCTCAACTTAACAACCACAATTGAACCTCTGTTGCTAAGCACAACAGTTGTTAAGTGAGTTTTGACCCATTTTACAACCTTCCTTGCTACAGTTGTTCAGTGAATTACTTCAGGTATCAAGTTAGTAACACAGTTGTTAAGTGAGCTTTCCCCATTGACTCTGCTTATCACAAACTTCATCACATGATCCTGGGACACTGCAACCATCCTAAATACATGCCAGTTGCCAAGCATCCAAATTGTCATCACATGACCACGGGGATGCTGCAACGGTCATAAGTGTGAAAAACAGTCCTAAGTCACTTTTTCAGTGCCATTGTAACTTTGAACGGTCGCTAAATGGAAGGTTGTAAGTCGAGGACTACCTGCATAAGGAAAGAACAAATATCACAGGTAGATTTGGTTGGCATTGTTATAAACTGAGTGGGCTATGGGTGTGCATGTTGATGCCTTAACTTTGTAAATGACAATGTCTGTAAATAGCAAAGTTTCAAAAAAAGATACCATATTTTTCGGACTATAAGACGCACCTAAATTTAGAAGAGGAAAACAACAAAAAAAATGTTTTTGGCCTCCACGCACCCTATTTTCGGTCCTTTTTTCAGCCCTTTTTTTGGCCCTTTTCCAGCCTTTTTCCAGCCCATTTTTGGGGCTTTTTTCAGCCCGCTTTTGAGGCTTTTTTCAGAAAAAACAGGCCAAAAAATGCCTCCTAAGCGGGCCAAAAAAAAGCCCCAAAAATGGGCTGAAAGCCTCAAAAATGGGCCAAAAACACAAAAGCAGGCTGAAAAAAACCCGGAAAACGCGCCAAAAAAGGCCTCAAAAACAGGCTGTAAAAAGCCCTGAAAAGGGGTCAAAAAAGGCCTGAAAAAGGCCAAAAAAAGGCCCAAAAATGGGCCGTGCATAGGCCAAAAAAACAGCCGGTGGGTGGGCGGGGCTTTGGCAATACTCGGTCTATAAGACGCACAGACATTTTTACCCCCTTTTTGGAGGCAAAAAAAGTGTGTCTTATAGTCCGAAAAATACTGTATGTACATAACAAATAAAATAATGATTATTTTCATTATACCTGTAACCACCGGCATGATTAAGAGATTATATTTATGCACACGTGTCCTCAGATCAACAGATTTTGTGAACTCTTCTGCTTCAGAGAAGAGAATGATACTTTCTGAGGTAGACCCTGATTGTGTGGTTATACTGCAATTTTGGACTTTTGCCCCCCTCCCCAGTGGGTACCCCTGAACTTAAAGCCATCTTAGCAAAACACAACAAATTATGACTATGATTGTGTCGCTGCCATACGGTGAACTACAAATCACCCAACCTCTAAATAGCCCAAGGCAAAATTTAAACACAGGAAGCTAGGCTGTTTTGACAAATCCTGATTCTGTTAACAGTAGAGCAGAGACAACCATGGCAGGAAAACAGAGGAGTCATGAATAATATATTACGCCACTACAGATTTATTAATATGGTTTTATAGCTCTCCCTTTAACATCAAGGGACATTGAATGGGTTATTCATATGTAAACCTATGTAAACACAAAGAGCCTTTGTGTGTCTGGGTACACACCAGGTCAGTAGGTTCCTTCTGTAACAATATGTAACAGAATTTCAGCAGATGGCTTAGTTTTATGATGCAAATCAGGCCATGCTTTCCTAGGACTGACGCCCTGAGAGATACAGCAAGACTGGCTTTTGAGTGAACATGTATCAAAGTGCATGTTAGGCCATTCCACGCTCCTTCATCATGCCTCCCTCCCCCTTCCCCAGTACTTGCTGATGTAGAGCCTGACGGGACGCGAAAACAGAGAGCATGGAGAACTAAGAATAGAAGTATTGGATTATCAACAAAATCAATATGACAGTAATGACAGTTGAACTGAACTCACCAAGAGGATGTCAGCCACAACGGCCCAGTTTAAAGATAAAAAAAACACTGCAAGGGCAATAAAAATCTGAAATATTAAAGAAGACACACATACACAGAGAGAGAAAGAGACTTAGTACATCATGAGTTGATTGGAAGGGCAATCCAATGCCCTCTTAGAAGTATAAACTGATACTACAGACAAATAATTGATGCCATATTTATCCGTTCCAAGCTGCCATATCCCCTGGCTATACTTTTAGCTGAATGTATACCGAATGCTGAAATCATAACATTTCATTTGTTTTCTAGCAATCTTCCTGTCCTTTCCCTCGCAACCTTGAGGGCTCAAATCATTAAATCCTAAATATTTCAAGGTGCCCATCAAAACAGCAGATTCTCTGTGGTCAATGGCTGAACTTTAACATGGTTTGTCAACTAGCTGACATACTCTAGAAGCATGGGACTCTTGATTCCATAATTCCCAGCCTTTTCTAGAGAGTAACATGAGGGGTAAATACAGTATGTCAACTGGGGCTTCTTTAAAGTGAAAATGAAAGTTGCCCATTAAATATATGAATTCTTTGGTCACTTACATATGCAGCTACAATGCTCTTCCCAGCCAGCATAATAGCCAAGTACATGCATGGAGATGAACTGAGCAAGCCCACAGCACAGATAAGAGGGTCAGCCTTGGTGTTAACCTTCTTGTATCTTCGGGCAGCTTCTGCTCCAATGACGACCCCCAAAATGCCAGTTGCTATGGTGATCCCTCCAAATATCTCACTAATGACCAAGCAAAAATGCAACATTTTTATCAACAGCATTAGTTAAATAGTGCCTTTTGGTGTAGAAATCTAAAAAATTACTAAGAGAGGGAGGGACAGAGGGACGGAGGGAGAGAGAGGGGGGGAGGGAGGGAGAGAGAGAGAGAGAGAGGACGGGAGGGATAGATAAATTTTAGGGTGCAACTCCCTTCAGCCCAGCCAGCTAGGGAGGTTGGGAACTGACATCCAAACTATATAAAGGCATATCATATTTGGGAAGGCCGCCATAAAACAAGGAAGACTTTATCGTTTTTTCAGAGCCTTGTAGCAGCTACTCTTTTTTTTTTTTTCTTTTCCTTTCTTTTATTTGAAAGAAATCATGGTGACTCATTCAGGGCTATGCTTTCTTTGCACCCCCTCCTGCTCCCATGCTAGACGAGTGTTGCAGTGGTGATAACTTGCCAATGGGAATATGGACACCAAAATGTGCCCGGTTACATTTTGCTCCTGCTGCAGAAGTTTCCTTAGGCAGGTTTCTGAGTCATTGTGTCATTTGAACCTGAAGCAGCAGCATATTAATCTGAAGTTCACTATCCTAATCAACAATAAACTTATCAGAATTTAGCAGAATAACAGAGTTAGAAGGGACCTTAGAGATCTTCTAGTCCAGGGTTGTCAAACTCACATCGTCACGGTGGTGTCACACTTTTTTCCACTTCGTTAAACCGGGCGTGGGCGTGGCCAGCGCATGATGAATCCAGCCCAAGGGCCGGGAGCTTGACAGCCCTGTTCTAGTCCAATGCCCTGCTCAAGTTCAAGCAGGAAACCCTATGCCATTCCAGAGAAGCTATCCAGTCTCTTCTTAAAAGCCTTCAGTGATGGAGCACCTACAGCTTCTGAAGGCAAGCCATTCCACTGGTTAATTGTTCTCACTTAAATCAACTCACTTAAAATACTCTAATCTGGTAACCATTTTAGGTTTGAACATGCTAAACTTGTTAATTTCATTTAAATACTGAAATTGATGGGGATAAAGGCTCAACCGGTATTGCACTGACTAATCAAGCCAATCATTTTAACAGAGAAAAAACTCAGCTGCCATAAGGTATCTGGAGCTATCCAAGGTCCTGTTTCTTGCCTTGTCTTGTATTCTCGTCACTTGAACTTTGCCAAAAAAGTCTGCTTTCCTTTGACTTCCTTGCTATGCTTAAGACTTTTTCTATCACTTCAAACAGCCAGCAGAATTCGAGGAATCCCACAAATCTTCCCAGGCATCTCTTATATAATCTCCATTTGCTTTTCAAGGTTTTTCAAGAGGTGGTTTGGTGTGGTGGCTAAAGGCTGGACTGGAAACTGGGAGACTGTGAATTCTAGTCCCGTTCGCCCCACCACCTTTAGGCATAACAACCATCTGGGTGACTTTGAGCCACTCCTCCTCTCTCAACCCAACTCACCTTAGAAGGTGGTGTTATGGGGAAACAAGAAGAGGGGACATCATGTATGTGTGCCATCTTGTTGGCCAAAAATAAAGGCAGGATAAAAAAAATCAAATAAGTAAGCATTTAAGACAAGTGTTTGTATTACCTGTTGTGGTTTTCACATGGATCTTTGCTGCATGGTTGTAAAATATTCAAAACAACCTCAGCTCTGTAAAGAAACACAGGAATCCAGAAACCGAGAGCGCCAGTGATGAAACCCATGCAAGTTACACCCAGCGAGGATCCTATAAAGCTCCAGCTGGGAGACAGAGAAAGGTTGGGATGGATAAAGAAGTGATGGAGAAAGAAGAGGTACCAAGTTCTGTGATCAAGATGTAAGAGGATTAAGACAAAAAGATGTTCTACGGCTCCCTCAAGTGACCACCTGTTAAAATAGCTACACAGGTACCCAGTATGCTTCTAGTCCAGATTTAAGCTATTGGTATGAAGGCCACCAAGAACTTGGGACAGAATTCTTGAGAGATGTTCATTTGTGACAATGAATTGCAGTATATTTACTATTCTACTTTGGGTTTTTTTTAAAGCTATAATTGGAAGCCCTTTCTAGGCCTCAGTGGAATAATTATTTTTCCAAAGTATTTTGGCCTCCAGGACATGCAAGAAGACATGTTTGTTGAGGTAGTGGCATCACTAGGGGTTGAGGCTGAATATTTTCTGCCTTTGGATTGGTTTTACTTGGGGGAGAATGGTTTACAGAATGGAAATGATATATTTTGGCTTGCAGAGTCTTAGTATTCTATTTCCCTCTTATTTTAGCAAAGTTTTATGGAAATCACATTGCCAAAACTTGGCCATTTCTTGATCAGTCTTGCTGATTCAAATTGTATGAATTACAAATTGCAAATTGGGGGGACAGGGACTATGTATTGCAAATTTGGGGGGGCAGGGGCTCCATACAGCATAGTGACTGCACCAGTGGTGGGATTCAGCCGGTTCGGGCCGATTCGGGCAAACCGGTAGTTAAATTGCTGGCTGACCCCGCCCCTTCCCACCCCACCCCTTCCAGGAGTCCCCATGCACCCCATTTTGGCTCCCAGGTAAGTGCAGGGAGGCCTCCTAAGCCCCAAACCGTTTTCACTCGCAGGAGGCTTCAGGAAGGCCTCCTAGGCCCAAAACGGGGCAAGGGGGCAGCGCGTTTCCCCCCCGTGGCCCGTTTTTGCTCTCAGGGGGGTACAGGAGGCCAAGTGCTGCCTGTCATACCCCCTGGCCACGCCCATCAAGCCATAGCCACAGAACCAGTAGTAAAAAAATTTGAATCCCACCACTGGACTGCATCCATAAAAATGGTTTGCAAATCATAAATGCACATCATGCTGAGTAAATCATGTTAAGGCTTGTCAGATCAGTTGCAGTCTTCTTTCACATAAATATACAGTAGCTACCTGCTGGGACCATTAAGGCACTCCTGGTTATATGGACTTTCCTTAAGGAACAACTAGGAAGAGATACTCTTTTTTTGTCACAAGGTCCATTCTGTAAGTTCAGTCTCCTAGAACCACAAACTGAGTGCAGGTAGAAAAGAGTTTTATTTTAGTTCACCTTGACATCAGACATTCTCCTGATGGTGCAGTTCCATCCAATTAATATCATTTTGTTTAACTCAATAAATAAAGGCATTTAAAAGAAAATAAAATGTGAACATCTCTTGGTTTTGAACAGCTGGCCAGTCCCACGTCAGCTGAATGATCAAGAACAATCAGAGCCCCTGAAGAGAAGCTTGAAAACAGGTAAGCATTTTACCTGGTCAGAATTTTCCCATAGTGGTGAAATATATTTCTATTTAAATATAGGATCTGCATTTGCAAATATGCCTCTGTTTGTAAAAAAAAAAAAAAAAAAAAAAATCAGTATGTGCAATTTTTATTCCAATGTGTCTACCAGCCACCTTTTGGGAGGAGAGGGGGTGAGAAGCAGATGATACAGCTTTTCTAAAAGAGTAAATTCTAGAATATGGCTGCATTCACAGAACACATTCAGTCGAGTCACTTAAAGCACAAAGGCTGTATTCACCCTGTAGGTTAGGCTTGGTTAGATTCAATCTTGCTTGGCTTCTGTAGGGTAATATGTGCTGTGCAAACTCAGCCTATTAGGAGGCTGGGAAAGGCATAGAGGGACAGCTGACGCGTCACAACGCCGTGATGTGACTTATATATTTATGCAACACATTGTGACATGCAACTACTAAATTGTGGCCTTTGCATAATGACATCGTGATGGACATGACATTTTGAAGTCCCTGAAGCTGCTGCATTAAATTATCATCTGATAAATAGTGCAAGGTCAGAAAAATTAGTTAAATTAATCATCATCTGAAGCGTGTTCAGTGGATAGATTCAGTAAGGATTTTAGACCATTTTGAGTACAGACTTTCTGATGATAAGAATTTCAGACGTTAAATATCTGTGAAGCTGCAGAACAAATGCTGTAGACTTAAAGCACTATAGCAGAATTATGACAATATGTTTACCTTTTCCAGAGCATTATTTTTTCAGATTTTAGCTATTGCCTTGCTGGTTAAGAACCCGGAGAGTTTCAGTCCTAACAAATCCGGAAGACCCCAATTGAGAAAAGGGTATCTAAAGATTTACTTGCAGGATAAAGCATGCTTACAAAGAAAATAAAAAAGATTTCTACAAGCTGACAGCCCCCTCTAGTGTCTGCTAGTATTAACTAGCCATACTGTTGAAAAGACAGATTTGTTGTGCCTTACTGATTAGCAGATATATGTTCCCGTACATGCATGTTCTGTTACATAGGAGGAAACAAAACTGTAAGCAATGGGGCCACAGGTACTGCAACGAACAATAACATAATGGCTAGAAACATGAAGGGCTGTTATGGAAGAACAGGAAAAGAAATACCTTACTTTTTGCAAAGAGAAGAAATGTCTTTGAGCCAAGTTGAGGTTCTGGTACTCTTGCCAGCTATGAGCGTCTTGTTCTTTGGTTTAGGGACTAAAATAATTAGGAGAATCAAGCCTGTAATTCCCATAAAAGGAGTAACCTACAGAGACAGAAGCAACAGGGATGTCAACAAGGACCATTACAAGAAGCTGAAGGACTATTGCTTGTTTATTCAGCATACGATGGGAACATGCCAAAGAGAAGTAAACGTGCACACAATCCACGTCATTTTATACAAAACTAGTATGGGGCTTTGTCCATAGCCTCATAGCTGGATGTCCAATTTAGCTATCCAGGGATACACTTCTGGCGTTGCTTTGTGCAAATCTTCTAGGAAGCCAGAGAACGCATGTCATGGACAATCTTGCACAATACGTTTAATAGTTTGCATATCAGCACCACAATCCCAACACGGGTGTGGGTGTGTCTTTCTATTCTCTGTTCTGTCCCCGTCCCACACGCACACACACCAACAGACGTTCAAGAGTTAAAGACCAAACCAGCCGATAAAATCCTTTTCCTTATGATAACGGAACTTGGCAACAACCTAGTGGCTGCCTGCCAAGAGTTTATTACTTACGAAGAGGAGAGATAACTTCTCCCCGCTTCTGGTACATCAAAGGAAACAGCTTAATAATTACAGAGTCAATCAAGTCCAAAGATAATCCAGCAAAGTCTATAGCAAAAGTCCGGCAATGCAGAATGGCGTGGAAGCTTTCAGCTTTGTTCATCACAAGGTTTGACTGGCCACCATGCTCCCTTTTATACCCTGTGGGGTGTGGTCCAGTGACTCAGCCTAATCTCGGGCACGCCTTTTCTTCTGTTGCACGCGCTTATCTCTGCGACGCTGGTGTGGATCCAGCCAAGACTCATTACTCTCATCACTGTCCACCTGTGGCTGCGTGGACGTGCTTGGCCCCGGCCCTATCTCTTGCCCTTCGGCGGACACCGAAGGCATTGCCAAAGAGGAGGGTCCTGGAGAGGGAGGCCTTGCCAACTCCTCTCCTTCACTCTCGGAGTCCTCTCCTGCCGATGACACAGGCTCAGGTAACGGAGCCACAACATTCTCATTGATACAGGATAAAGGCACTTCTTCCAGTATTCCATCTAATTCTGTTCCTAATTACAAGAAGTTTACACAGTGAAGCAACTGCTTTACGAGGCAGACTAGGGCTGAACTTCACTTATGTTCCCTTGACCTGTTCTCCAGAGAAATTCTCCACTCCGGCCATCATTCAAAGAGAGCCTTCAGATGCCATGCATAGTAATAAAGCCTGCCCACAATTTTCTGCCATGGCCACTTCATTATTTTGAGGAGCCTTTAGAGCAGTGTTTCTTGACCTTGGCAGTTTGAAGATATGTGGACTTCAATTCCCAGAATTCTCTAGCCAACTATGCTGGCTGAGAACTTCTGGGAATTGAAGTCCACACGTCTTCAAGTTGCCAAGGTTGAGAAACACTGCTTTAGAGTGATCGTGATATTATGACTAACTGGCTGGAGGATGGAGCCACCATCAGGGAAGAGGCATATGAGAAGAAGGAGCAAGAAAATATCTAATTTTTCCTCTCCACCCCCGGAACTTCTGATAAACTATCATCAAAGAAGAACAGTTTGACTTCTCATTTTCATTTTCCCTCTTCTAAATTATCACTTGATTTTTATAGCTTATATAAATAGTTACTGTAAATAGCTAAAATAAATATATAAACATACAAACACACAGTGTGTGTCTAGATGGATGGAGAGAAGGGGGGAGGGAGACAGACAGACAGACATAGATGATTGATGGAGATAGAGACAGAGACAGAGAGACAGAGAGATGAGAGAGAGAGACAGAGAGAGACAGAAATACATATAGACAGAAAGACATACATACATGATAGATAGATAGATAGATAGATAGATAGATAGATAGATAGATAGATAGATAGAAAAAAATAAGATAGATGAGAGCGAGGAAGAGGAAGAAATCACACACATAGACCAAAATTCTAACATTGTAGGACTATGTCAGCATCTTTGTATATATTATTTATTTTTCAACATTTTCTTAAAACCAGCTGAAAGAGAAAATAGAAGTTACACTACTAACAGATTGACAGAACCCCACCGTTTTAATCCAGAGGGATTCTCTTAAAGATAGACCTGACCAACCAAGACTCACCCTGAAGCCCCAGCCCCAAAAACCGCTTGCACGCGCCACTCCAGATGACAGGATATAGCCGAGTCCACTGCAAGAGAAGAAAAATCCAAGTTGAAAGAGGCCCTTAAAGCCACAGAGTTCAAGTGGTGAAAAAAGTCAAATACCTGGGAGTATATTTAACCTCAAGATTTCAGCCTCCTGTGTTGTGCAGCAGAGGTGGTATTCAGCAGGTTCTGACCAGTTTTGCAGAACCGGCAGCGGAAATTTTGAGTAATTCGGAGAACCGGTAAATACCACCTCTGACTGGCCCCACCCCCATCTATTCTCTGCCACCCGAGTCCCAGCTGATTGGGAGGCAATAGGGATTTTGCAGTAACCTTCCCCTGGAGTGGGGAGGGAATGGAGATTTTACAGTATCCTTCCCCTGCCTGCTACGTCCACCAAGCCACATCCACAGAACCAGTAGTAAAAAAATTTGAATCCCACCACTGTTGGGCAGGTATCCTCCTCCCTATCATTTCAACCCGTTATTCTACATGCTACATTTTGGAGGGTGCTAGAAATTATTTTGATTGAGATCTCTGAACTGATATGTATTGGTAGTTCTTGATTTATGGCCACAGACGAGCCCAATATTTCTGTTGTTGAATAAAATAGTGGTTAAGTGAATTTTGCCCCATGCTATCACAATTGAATCACGGCAATGGTTAAGTTAGTAACATGGTCATTAAGAGAATCTGGCTTCCCCACCGACTTTGTTTGTCAGAAGGTCACGAAATGTGATCGCATGACCCGCAGGACAGTGCAACATCATAAATACGAACCAGTTGCCAAGCATCAAAATCCAAATTTTGATTACATCACCATGGAGATGCTGCAAAGGTTGTAAGTGTGAAAACATTTTCAGTGGCATTGTAACTTCAAATGGTCACTAAACAAATGGTTGCAACTTGAGGATTACCTGTATTGAGAGAAAGACTGCATATGACTTAAGTCACCCCCAGAAGATCCTTCCACCACAGGAATCCAGGTTCAATGATGGGAGGACATATATCTGCCTCAATGCCTGATAACAGCCTATCCATTTTCACCATTCCCTCCCCATCCCTTGGTAGCTCAGCCATTAGAATGCAGTACTGCAGGGCTAACTCACTGCTCTCTCCAGGAGTTCAATCCTGAGTGGTTAAAGATTGACTCAGCCTTCCATCCTTCCGAGGTCAATAAAATGAGGACCCAGGTTGTTGGGGGCAATATGCTGACTCTGTAAAACCACTTAGAGAGGGCTGGAAAGCACAGTGAAGCAGTATATAAGTCTAAGTGCTATTGCTATCCCATTAACTTTGAACCCAAGAACCCATCCCTTACAATTCACCCCACTCCTCCCAAGGAATCCTATATAAGAAGAGACCATGGATATGGGTTCAGTGATTAAACTTCTTGGGTGACCTTAGACAACTTGCTGTCCCTTGGTTTAGATTGCAATGAGATATAATCAAAGTTTGAGTATTAAGGATGATGCCTTGAACTCCTGCATGAGAAGCAGGATATAAACATGACTCATAGAGATATTATCTATTAATTGTAGGTTCAGTCTTTGAGCATGGTTAGATCTACCTTCCAACAGGTATGAAGATGTAGAAGACTGATAACATCCACGTCCGATAATCTTTCTCAAACAAGTCAGCAATGATGGTGGGTGCTATGGTAGAGTAACTGGAGGTACCAGCACCCACCAGTCCCCGTGAAATAAAAAACAGCCAGGGCATCTAGATGAGAATTTGGAAAGGGCACATTCAGTCTAGTATAGTTTTTTAAAACTTTAATTGCAATCATTTTCTTATGGATGCACACTGATCCATATCTATTCTCTATGTATTCTTTCCCTATTCTATTCAACCATCCTTCTATATTAAACTCTGGTTAACAGGCGTGGGTAAGATTGCGCAAAATCCATATAATTTTTGCATCTGTTAGACTAATTTTTCCTGAAAGAAACTGGAAAGATTAAGTAGTAAAATGTGGCTTTCAATTCTTTCACCCTTGGAAAATTGAGCCAAAAATGTTGACCGATTCCTTAAAAATTACTGTCCCCAGCCTGAAAAATGGTTGCCTGTTTCTAAAAAGTTGGAAAAAAAATAGAAGAGATTAAAATTAGTCAATCTTTAGAATAATGAGCGTGAATTATTGTTCTGCAAAAAAAAGTGGCAGTTTTTTGTTGTGAAAGCTCTTTCAATCATAAAGTATGGTCGGTACCAGTGGTTGTTTTCTACCGGTTCACCCCAGTTTGGGCGAACTGGTAGTGGTGGCGGTGGGAGGCTCCGTCCACCCACCCAGAGGTCATCACGGACGCTCTGCACATATGCAGAAGCGCCGCACACGAGTTAAGCGAGCAAGCGCGCACTCACAGTTCCGAACCGGTAGCGAAGGGAAGTGGAACACACTACTGGTCAGTACAAAAAGGAAGATATATATATTTATATATATTGGACACTTTGGAAAACATTTAATAAAAGTTTATAATCACTGCCATATTGCTAAAAAAAGCTATTCAAAAGGTGGAACAGTAATCTCATATAGTTCGGGCTTGTTCTACTATTTTGATCTGAAATTGAGGTTGTTAACATGACTTTAAGCAGTTCCTATTTGTCAGAAATGTATAAGTTCTTCTTACTTGTGACCTGAATAATTTAAACCAGAAATATGTTCTATTTCTAGAGACCCATGCAATAACGCACTATAAAGGATCCAATATAAAATAAAAATAGCAAATTATTAGCAAATTCACATCAGAATGCTTTAGATCTTAAATACACAAGCAATTCCTAGCATCACTAAATATTATGAAAACTTAAAGCAGTACTTAAGATCCAGCTATTATATCTGCTACAATCAATGGCCTAATGCAATGTGAGAATTCAATTTATATTTATAAATAAATGGAAAGATTATACTTTTGGAAATTCAAAACAAGAAAATATCCTTAGAAAATGCATATTTTAAGACCCAACATATTTTAGAATATGCGTTAGATACTATTTACATGCCTATTTCCATTATTTAATTAATGGATTTGTGTGGAAATCAAAGAAAATGGATTTATGGATAAATATAAGCAAAAGTTACACATCCGAGAAACAAGGACAAGGAAGGACTGGACAGCTTATTTTGCTACTTGAATGCTTCTTCCAAGAAAGCCACTGTGTATTTCAAATCCTATTTTAATTAATTATTAATTACATTTTGGGGGAGCATGATGTATGGCATCTTGATTTCTGCAGGGAAGACAGAATAGATACCGTGATGGCAAACCTATGACACGCGTGCCACAGATGGCATGCAGCACCCTCTCTGTGGGCACGCGAGCTGTCGCCCGAGTTCAGCTCTGCCACGCATGTACGCGCACCTCCCACTGGCCAGCTGGTGATCGGGTCTCTGCTGCGCATGCGGGGGGCGCATACACAGGGTGTGTGCAGGTGGCCATGCATGCATGCATGGGGGCGGGGCGCGTGCAGGGGGGCCATGCACTTTTTGGGCACTCAGCCCAGGAAAGGTTAGCCATCACTGGAATAGAAATTTAACAAATGATTATCACCATCATCAACACACCTCACAAGATTTTGGAAATCTTAGGTGAAGACGTTGAAATCTTCAATGGGACGTTGTGCTCCTGCACAGAATTTGGCAATGTGGTAAGAGTTTTCAGCCATCATACTGCTGACCTTGATACATGCCCTCTATAATCTCTATTTAAATGGATTGGCACTAGGACAAAGATTTGATCCAGAATGGGGCAGAGAGGAATACACCAAATCAAATAACCTCTCTTACCGAGGCTGGAATGAAGGAGCTACAAAAGGTAACTGTTGACCAGAAGGATATTCCAATGCTGAGGATGATTTTCTGATTGTATCGGTCCCCAAGGTATCCAAAAACAGGAGCCGAGAACAAGAAACAGAGAATGAAAACTGCCATGAAAAGAAAGGAAAGTAATGATGAACAACCTCACTTGACTTTCAACACAACTACCATTTTAATGCATTTGTCATCTCACATTAGATTTATTACCGTCTGTTTCATCTGGAATTATCCTGGAACATGAGGCAGATGCTACCGTTGATAAAGAACACAGCTAAGTAGAATCCCATGAAAATTCCAGCTACAGTAGTGGTCAAAATTGTGGAAATCTTTTGGGAAAAGTGCATTTTTGAGGATTGATGGCTAATAACACCACTTTGTTTTTTTGGAGTTTCAAGATAATCATATTCCATTGTTGGAATGGCCTGGGAATAGCCCAGACCTTAACCCAATTGAAAATCTATGGAGCCGACTAAAGAAACTTGTTAGTCAGAAGCAACCCAGCAATAAAACCCAATTAATAGAAGCAATCATTCAATCTTGGCTTCACTTTATAACAGCTGCAGACTTTGTTCACTTCATGGGAAGATGAGTATTAACTAACATGGTGATAATTTTTGTATATCTGATTTTTTCTACATGTTTCATTTTTCTTTATACTGTAACTGCTATTCTAATAGCAAATCCTTCGTAAAAGTTATTACATTACATTCTTGATTAAATTATAAATAAAATCAGGCATGGTCAGGATGATCCGCTTAATGACTACCGTGACTTACAATTATAATTCTGGCGTCTATTATTGTTGTAAATCGAGCAATCACAGCAATCTAATATGTCAAGAGAGTTATAATCCAAGCCTTCATTTTTTAAAATGTGGGAAATACTGAGGGCAATGGCAAAATGAAGAATAATGTCATAAAATAGCTTAATTCATAATTACAAAGTTTAGAAAAGTTAGCCACCACAACTTCTCTTGAGAAGCACAGGATATGAAATTAGGTCCCAAATTCAATTTCCTGTGGAACGTCAACGTTTAGGATTTTTTTTTTAATTTCCAAAAGCAGAGTGGGTGGGAAATTGCATCATTTGTTTTAAAGATATATAGAGAGCTTCCCTATATGAGTCATATCATAGAACCAGTATAGAACTTTTTTTTTTTTTAATTTGATTTATATGCCGCCCTTCTCCGGAGACTCAGGGCGGCTTACAATGTGCTAAGCAATAGCCTTCATCCTTTTGTATATTTATACAAAGTCAGCTTATTGCCCCCACAACTGGGTCCTCAATTTACCTACCTTAGAAAGGATGGAAGGCTGAGTCAACTTTGAGCCTGGCGAGATTCGAACCTGCAGTAATTGCAGGCAGCTGGTCTTAATAACAGGGTGCTTTAGACCACTGTACTACCAAGGCTCATTTTGACTCTAGCTGTTGACCTAGCTTTGAATTAGAAGTTGCCCGGGTTCCAAGCACAGAGATGATGTAGGACAGATTTCTTAAGTGTCATTAAGCTACAACTGCCAACTATTGGCCATATTGTCTAGGATTTATGGATGCTTACTGAACACCATTTAGAGCAGTGTTTCTCAACCTTGGCTGGCTGGGGGATTCTGGGAGTTGAAGTCCACCCATCTTCAAGCTTCCAAGGTTGAGAAACACTGATTTAGAGGGCTGTATGTGCCCTTCCCTGCCTCACTGGAGTCATCTAGATTTTTTTCTGATGGGTGTCAAGAGAAATCTGGGAAATAGATTTTGCATGGTTATATTGGCAGATCATTGCTCCTAGCTTGGATAATGACCTTTAAGCTTCTTCAGGGTATCCACCTTGAATCTCTTGCTGTAGATCATTGATATCATGTGTTATAACAGAATAATTTGTTGGAAGGGACTTTGGTGGTCTTCTGGTCCAACCCTTTGCACAAGCAGGAAACCCTATACCATTTCAGACAAATGGCTGTCCAATCTCTTCTTAAAATCTCCAGTGTTGGAGCACCCACAATTTCAGGAGGCAAGTTGTTCCACTGATTAATTGTTCTAACTGTCAGGAAATTTCTCCTTAGTGCTAGGTTGATTCTCTCCTTGATTAGTTTCCATCCATTGCTTCCTGTCCGACCTTCACATGCTTTGGAGAATAGTTTGACTCCCTCTTCTTTGTGGCAGCCCCTCAAAAATATTTGAACACTGCTATCATGTCACCCCAGTCCTTCTTTTCATTAAACTAGATATACCCAATTCCTGCAATCGTTCCTCATATATTTTAACCTTCAATCCTCTAATCATCCTTGTTGCTCTTCTCTGCAGTCTTTCTAAAGTTTCAACTTCTTTTTTATATTGCGGTGATCAAAACCTATCTTACAAATGGGTTGAGAATTCAGCTCCCAGAATTCCCATGCAGAAAAGCCATGAATTCTGGGCTTTGTCATCCTAATACATCTAGAAGACCTGCCAGCAAAATCTGTTCTAACTATTGGGTTACATTGGCTTCCATTGCCCCTACATTTAAATGTCCCTGCTTGTTTTCCTCATTATTTTGCAAATTAAAAGCACAGTTAGTAAGTAATTTACTTTCAGAATGCATGTACCGACTTAACCAAAAAATTAAGAGAGGTTATCAATCCTGGAAGAGAGAATTGTTTTACCAGTGTGTAACAGGCCCGTAGTCTGGTCTGTAAGATTAAAAAACTTCTGTATGTCGAGAAGCACTCCTGAAACAAAATGATATGGAATAGATTAATTCATGATGTTCAGCAGTGGGTTTCAATTTATGTTACTGCCAGTTCGCTGCACGCGCGCATGCTCATTTCGTGCACACGTGCACCCGGTTCACGTGTGTGCCTTCCTTCTGCACATGTGCCCAGCCTCAAAAACATGCCAAATAGGATGGCATAGAGATGGGGCAGGTGGACAGGCCCACCCGTGATTTCCGCTACCGGTTTAAGTGAACCGGTCCGAACCGGCTGAATACCACCTCTGATGAAGTTGTTGTCCTATCCCAGTGATGGCTAACCTTTTTGCCATCGTGTGCCAAAAGCGGGGGGGGGAGTGTGTGGGGGGGTCATGCGCACATGTGCTCACACCCATAATTCAATGAGCCCCACCCTCGTGCTCTCCCCGCTTTTGGCACACGATGGCACGGTGGGCCCAATAGGCCTATTTTTTGCCCTCCCCAGGCTCCAGAGGCTTTCTTGGAGTCTGGGGAGGGTAAAAACAGCCTTCTCCAGCCCGCCGGAGGCCCTCCAGAGACTGGAAACGGCCTGTTTCCCGACTTCCGGTGGGCCCGGAAGGCCAGAAAATTAGCTGGCCAGCACCTGCATGTGTGCTGGAACTGAGCTAGGGCAATGCTCGCATGCGCACAGATATGGCTCCACGTGCCACCTGTTGCATGCGTGCTATAGGTTCGCCATCACGGTCCTATCCTGACCCCAGGATTTTCACAGCCAACAAGCAGTTAAGCACCTGATTCTTTTCCCAGACTCTGGGTTATGGTGACTGGAGTCCTTTTTCTCTGTGTTATAAGCTTCTGTATTGTTCACTAGATTCACCATCTTGTTTACTGTTTTTTATATACATTATACATTTTTTATCTTGTTCTTATACTTTGAGCTAGCCAGACTCAGTTTGAAGTTGGGTGGCACCTAACTGAAATAATAAATAAAAAATGACCTCATTCTACATTTTATCCTCAAAATAATGGAGTTGAAGTTTAGGCTGAAACAGAACTGTCTTAATTCTCTTTAGCTAGATAAAACTCTCCCAATGTTCTTTTAAATCCTAGAGCACGGGTGTCAAACTCACGGCGCCACGTTGCTGTCATGTGACCTTTCACAACATTTTCCCCCTTCACGGAGCTGAGGTGGACGTGGCCTACACATGACATATCCGGCCCGTGGGCCACCAGTTTGGCACCCCTGTCCTAGAGGTTGCATTCAAACAACATGTTAGATTTAGTTAGATTTAACTTAGGTTAGCCTTCTTCTGTCTTAACATACTGTGTGAATCTTTGATTAGTTCATAGATCACTGGATTTTATGAATTCAGAAAATGAATTTATTATATCTTGCAAAATATAAAGTTGACCTTAGATCTACCAATAAACATTGATAGAGTCAGGTTTTTCAAACTGGGTCTCCTGGATGTCTACATTTGATACTGTAGTCCAATGTTTTTTGAGAAAGTAGCATTCAGATTATATATATTTTAGTTCTGATCCTCTTATGGCAGAACAGGCAATGGTGAGAGATAAATTATACGGTTTAAACAGGTGGAGGACACCATAAGTTTAGTAAAGTAAATTAAGACTTGAGATACTTATTTTCAAACAAGGAGAATATATGCAATCTGAGAAAATCCCTAGAGCAATTCACCAATTTGTCAGTTGGTAAATATACAAAGATGTTACTTTGGTCTGACTGGCAGTTCAGGTTAAGCAAAGCTGCTTAAAAATAGCTTGAAAGAATTTGACCTTTTCCCTTTGCTTTTACTCAAATATATGCAGCTCTTGTTAACCTTTTTCTTAATTTCCCAATAACCCAATAAAATTAATAGCCTATTTTCTGAAACTGAAATGAGAAAGAATATTATAAAAGTACCAAAACAGGCCCAAACCCCAAATCATTTGAGGGAACCATAGAATAATTCAAATACATAAGATAATATTAAATATATAATTTGTATTGCATTAAATATAATATTACCTTAAGCTTGTTTCTCTCCATCCAGACCAGGGGTGAAATCCAGCAGGTTCTGACAGGTTCTGGAGAACTGGTAGTGGAAATTTTGAGTAGTTCAGAGAACCAGCAAATACCACCTCTGGCTGGCCCCAGAGCGGGGTGGGAATGGAGTTTTTGCAGTATCCTTCCCCTGGAGTAGGGTGGGAATGGAGATTTTGCAGTATCTTTCCCTTGCCACGCCCACCAAGCCACACCACACCCACCAAGCCACGCCTACAGAACCAGTAGTAAAAAAATTTGGATTTCACCACTGATCCAGACCACCAAAGAGAGAGAAAGAACCTTTTGGTCAGCCTGGGACCAAGAAATATAACTAAGTATCATTACCATAGTGATGACATCACAGCCCATGCTGTCAGTCTTCCTCATCCAGATGTTAAATAGCAAGGATTTAGAATAGTGTTTCTCAACCATGGCGATTTGAAAATGTGTAGACTTCAATTCCCAGAATTCTCCAATCAGCTATGCTGACTGAGGAATTCTGGGGCTTGAAGTCCACACATCTTAAAGTTACCAAGGTTGAGAAGCACTGGTTGAGATGTAAACATCTTCCCTGCTACTAATAGTGACTGGAACCAACTCTGGCAAAAAGAGGAGGAGGAGAACCACCACAAAATTGTGCTCTCCACTCCTGCACTCAGATCAAGGAGGGCAAGAATAAATGTACCATCTCTATTCTGGTCTCCTGGAGATTATTCATTAATGCAAACAATACAGCCTTGTGATGTACCATTCTAAGGAAGCAAGGGGGAATTCTTGTAACGACCCTGTGATTAGCTTAACTGCAGTGAGTCACTCAACAACCATGGTAAAAAGGGTCACAAAATGGGGCACAACTCACTTAATGCCTTCCTTGCTTAGCAATGAAAATTTTGGGCTGAATTGTGGTCGTAAGTCAAGGATGCCTGCAATCCTTGATGCTTTAATTGGGTGCTTTAGCTGGACTAGATGATCAAACCAGTGGTCGGATTCAAATTTTTTTACTACCGGTTCTGTGGGTGTGGCTTGGTGGGCGTGGCAGGGGAAGGATACTGTAAAATCTCCATTCCCACCCCACTCCAGGGGAAGGATACTATAAAATCTCCATTCCCTCCCCACTCCAGGGGAAGGTTACCACAAAATCCCCATACCCTCCCGATCAGCTGGGACCCGGGAGGCAGAGAATAGATGGGGCCAGTCAGAGGTGGTATTTACCGGTTCTCCGAACTACTCAAAATTTCCGCTACCGGTTCTCCAGAACTGGTCAGAACCTGCTGAATACCACCTCTGGATCAAACCCATTCTTCCAACATTTATTTTATCATCTCCATTTACGGCAGTTGGGGCATTGAGCTTTAGCCCATGAAAACTGGTATGAAAATAGCTCAAAATAATTGTACTCAGCTTTCTCTTATTGCAAGAAGAAAATGTAGATAGTGCTATGCTTCACTGAGCATATTTCTCATCCCTCACCCTCTTTTTTCCTTCTAGTTCTTATCCAATTTAATGAAAGAGAATTTGCTTTCAATTTCTCTTTTAGGAGAGTATTTTAATGACATTCTGATGATGGTGGATTTTTTTCTTGTATTTAGTTATGAAGTCATCAAGAGAGGTGTCTGAATGGTCCAATTTTCATTGTACAACAATTCTCCAATAATCTTTAGCCTCCATGTAATATCTAGTTCATCCCAAGGCAGCATCTCATTAGGGGCATTTCATAGTAGGGAGAATGAATAAACAGAGAGGCTACAAAGAGATGGAAGTGTTTGTTACAGCTAGAACAGCACCAACTCAAAAACATTCCTGAGAAATTCTCAGGGATCTGGAGAGTACAGTCAGAAAAACAGAAGACTTTTTTTGAACAGAAAAATTGTTGTTGTTGTTATTAATCATCACACAGTCAGCCAGATGTTCAGACTGAGTTTGGCATTTTTGTGTACCTATCGAGTCCATCATTAAACCCAGATTCTGTGGGCTATTGCCGCAAAGTAATTGTAAATGGGATCCACCCTACCTGCTACAAGAAACCAGTCCATGTAATTCACCAGGTTCAGATGGCAAAGCGTAGCAATAGCGATGTAAGCCCTTCTGGTGGGCGGCTGTGATGATCCTTGAGGTTGCTCAGCTGATTCCATGGTTCCGTAAGCCTTGACAGAGGCAGGGGATTGAGGTGGCAGGTCTGGGATCACTCCTTCCGCCATCTTCCTGGTCAATGCTGCCGATTAGTTGCAGAAACCCATACCTTGGTCCGGCACTTGTCTATTGCTCTACAAGGAGCTTCAGCTTTGCTCTTGCCTCCAACAGGAGGAACTTAGCTTTGCTCAGTCATTTCCTGTAAAAAGCCGCCTGTGTACTGGCCACAGAATTTCCAAGGTTCCCCTCCATCCAACATGTTCACACGACAGTGAGAAAAGCAGCCTGCTTCTCTCAAATGGCTGAGAAGACAAGGTGTCCATGGGCATCTCTATTGCAAAGCTAAACTACGTTAGGATTATAAACCTGTGGAGACAAGCAGAAGAGCCCATGTTTAGACGCTGAGCAGATTTGGCTGAAAAAAGAGCCATATTGAGAGAGGAACTGCTAATCTGAGTAAACTGAATCTACACCTTGTGACTCCGGATGGAAGCTGTGTCCTCACACAGCCCACTAAACCCACAAACCAGTTGTTCATATATTAACATCTTGTTAATATACATCTTATTATCATCTGTTAGCTGATGATTTGTGGGGTTGCGAGAAGCTTGAAGATTCAGTTAATCAAACGGGCTGTCGGTCAGTGAGCCACGACAAAGTGTATTATGTGAATTCAGCCATAGTCATGCAATGGTGCTTACAAAAAATGAAAAAAAGTTACGTGAGCTACTGCAACCCCCATCCAGTGGGACAGTAGGTAAGATCAGTTCAAAGCATGAGCAAAGGAGAGACAGTTTGGTCTAGTGATTAAGGAACCAGGCCAACCACTTCCTGTCCTACCTTAGCCATTGAAGCCAGTTGGATGACTTTCGGCCAATCACTCTCTCTTAACCCTACCCACCTCACAGTGATGTTGTTGTGAGGAAAATTGGAGGAGGAAGGTGTCTGGATATGTTTGCCGTCTTAAGTTATTTGTAAAAATAATAAAGGCAGAAAATACCTACCTACCTACCTACCTATATACATACATACATACATACCATATTTTTTAGAGTATAAGACACACTGGAGTAAAAGACGTGCCCTAGTTTTTGGGGAGGAAAATAGGGGGAGAAATCTGCCTATTAGGTATTCATTTGGCTAGCATCCTTAGCCTGGTCATCTTCAGCACATTAATTCGCTGGTTTTGAGTGTGCGCTGGTTGGGACTAAAATACAGGTTCTAAAGCACAGCTGATTGTCAGAGGGAGCAGCAATGAGAACAGCAGGCGAAGCATGGAATATCACTTCACTAGCAAGTGCCTCATTGAGGCTAAAAAACAGCTTCAAAAACACAGCTGATTGTCGGAGAGACCTCCAGTGACTAAAGCAGGCGAAGCGCGGAAGGGGTAAGAGAAGGCAGGAGCTGTTCCGGGTAGCCATTTTAGGCATTGTGTGTTGCATTTTCAGCATCCAAACACGTCGCGTTTTCAGGTGGCAATTGGTGGCGATGTGCTTTGGTGATCTCCGCAGCCTGGAAGGGCTCTCAAACAGAGCGTTTGGAGGCTGAAAATGTGATGTGTGGTGCCCAAAATGGCTAAGCCATTGTTGATGGCAATCTCTGCAGCAAGGAAGAGGATGTGTGGAGGCCGAAGGGGGGGGGGCTACATTCAGAGTATAAGACACACCCAAATTTTCAGCCTCTTTTGAGGTGGGAGTGCGTTTTATACTCCGAAAAATATGGTACATACATAGATACATACATAGTTTGAATCTTTCCTTGCCTTAGATCTCATAATACAGTAAGACTGGCTTTATACATTTTATTTATTTATTCAATTTATTTATTCAATTATTCAGTTTAAGCAGGTAACTCTGGGTGGCTTACAATTCTAAAATTCTAAAACAATTAATTTAAAAGTACTAAATAATAAAAGCAAGCATCCACAAAATAAATGGATAAACAGCAGCCATGATGGTTAATCAACTTAATAGTAAAGCCAAATAATGAGGCCCTTAGCACATTCTGAGCCCCAGGCCTGAAAACATAGCCAAGTTTTAAAAACTGCGAAAAACCAACAGGGCTGAGGCCATTCTAACCTCCGAGGGGGAAAATATTTCACAAGGCAGGGACTGCAACAGAAATTGCTGTTGCTAATTGGGTCTTCTGTCCATGCGGGGATCTGTCCTTCACTGCACATATAAAAGCAGATTATTAATTCAGGAATTGCAGGGTAAGGCTGATAGAGTTTCCTGTCTACCTCCCAGCATCTGTCATTTGAGCAGATTTTGCACTCTGTTAAAAGGTAACGCTGTCCCTATTTAGTGGTCTTCTTTGAGCCAGTATCTGGAGAGAAATGAGAATTATCTGCTAAATATAGTTGTGAGCAGAGGGTTCTTCCCTGAGTTTATCTGTTGATCAAAACGGCTCCTACTTCAGGTGGGAAAGGAAGGGAGGGAGGCCCACCAGAGGCCTAAGCATTAAGCAAACTTCCTGAAGTGAAGACCAAAAAGTTGGCTAATGGTGCTTAACCCTGAACGCTGCTTCCCTGCCTGGGCTAAGGCTCCAAACAGGAAGTCAGTAGAGAATGCAGGCAAAAGAGACACATTACTATAGTATTTCTCAAGCTTGTGTAAGGTCCCGAAATACACTTGAGTCACCAGAATGCTAAAGAGAGAGACTCAAGACGAGGCTTGCAAAAAAGTAGATTTTATTTATGGCCAAAAACAAAATACTGGGTGGAACTATATCCAGAACATACAGATACAATGCATGCGAGGAAATAGCCACACCTTAGGGAAGGTATGGCGTCCTTTTATACCCTCAGAGACGTCAGCTTAGTACCCAATTCTGGCCTCCTAATTTAGGTTTGTGTATTCCTTGTTGCCCTGCAAGGGGGAATAGAAACTTCCCCAATTAGTATTATCTTACGCATTTCTTTGTTTACTCAATTGGCCACTTAGCCCCCTGGCTCTGGAAGACAGGAGTTTATCCAGATCAAACATAAATTAGGACTGAGGTGTAAATTATCCCTTTGTTGATGGCTGTAGTTTCAACTGAGATACGTACCATGCTTTTAGATGGCACAAGAAAAACAGGAAGAAGATTGATATAGGTTCAGGTCAAATGGCAGGGACATATGTTTGACAAATACCAGATACATTACAGAGGCCTAATAACAGAATATGTTTGTTACAGAAGATACAAATATAAAGGCATAATATATATGATACAAATACAAAGGCATATATGTATTACAGGAACCTTATGGTTACAGAATCTAGTATACCAGTATATCATATTCTAGTATTATTTATTATATCCTTATTATTGTTTCCCTTCACTTGGCTACTTGAAGATGTGTGCCGGAGAACTTGGGGAGGTGAATTAGTTCTTGCTTCTCAAACAGCACCAAATTAGCCCCGTGTGCAAAGGACAGAGCAATGTTTCTCAGCCTGGTCTGCTTAAAGATGTCTGGACCAGGGGTGGGTTCTAAATTTTTTTACGACCGGTTCTGTGGACGTGGCTTATTTTGTGGGCGTGGCTTGATGGTCATGTGACAATTCTTTAGGCTTTAGCAGAGGTATTAGTCCCCCAGGCTTTTAACTGCTTGCAGAGCTGTACCAATCTACTCTTTTGTTTTTGGAGGCACCGGTCTACCACCACACTGCCTTTTAACACTGATCAGCTGTAGGGTGGCCCTTTGAAGCCCCGCGGCAAGAGTTTAAACAGTTTTTTTCCTTCTAACCGATCAGCTGGGACTCAGGAGGCAGCAACAGATTGGGGGTGGGGCCAAATAAAAGGTGAGAATAACGCGGAGGGGCGGGGGGGCAGAACCGGTTCGGTGACGTCATATCGTCACCGCTACCAGCTCGGCGGAACCAGGCGAAACCGGGAGGAACCCACCACTGGTCTGGACCTCAATTCCTAGAATTCCCTAGAAAGCATATCAGAGGTGGGTTTCAGCAGGTTCTGACCAGTTCTGGAGAACCGGTAGCAGAAATTTTGAGTAGTTCAGAGAACCGGTAGTAAAAATTCTGACTGGCCCTGCCCCCATCTATTCTCTGCCTCCCAAGTCCCAGCTGATCGGGAAGAAATGGGGATTTTACAGTAATCTTTCCCTGGAGTGGGGAGGGAATGGAGATTTTACAGTATCCTTCCCATGCCACGCCCACCAAGCCATGCCACGCCCACCAAGCTACACCCACAGAACCGGTAGTAAAATTTTTTGAAACCCACCACTGAAGCATATGCATATGATGACGTGGGAATTCTGGGAGTCCACACATCTTCAAGCAGCCAAGACTGAGAAACACAAAAATAGTACATTTGGCACAGTGGTGAAATCCAGATTTTTTTAGTACTGGTTCTGTGGGCGTAGCTTGGTGGGCATGGCAGGGGAAGGATACTGAAAAATCTCCATTCCCACCCTACTCCAGGGGAAGGATACCGCAAAATCCCCATTCCCTCCCCACTCCTGGGAGAAGGATATTGCAAAATCTCCATTCCCATCCCACTCTGGGACCAGCCAGAGGTGGTATTTGCCTGTTCTCCGAAATACTCAAAATTTCCGCTACCAGTTCTCCAGAACCTGTCAGAACCTACTGGATTTCACCCCTGATCCGGCATTTGTCAATTCTGTCAGCATTTGCCAGTTTTTCTTGGCTATCAAGACTGCTCCAATGAGCGTCCTTGGCACTCTCTGAACTTGGCTGTTTGGTTGTTTTCTTGCAGAAGTTTCATTATCCAAACCAGATATCACCATCAATTCTAGGACTGATGATGTGACCTACTTTGGGTAATGATACATCTGCAAGAAAACAAACGTGCTGCTCAGAGAACATCATGTAGATTTTAAACCTGAATTGTTTTTATTAGGTATAATATCAGAAAAATTAGATAGGAAAAGTATGCATTTAATATTACATGTCATAACAGCAGCAAGGATTATATTCGCACATTGGAAAAACGAAGAAACACCGCGAGATGAAGAGATAATTAAGAAGATACTACTGTGCAGAAATGGATAGATTAACATTGAAAATTAAGCAGAAAGAAGTCACAGAATACTATCAAACATGGAATCTATTTTACCAGTGGTTAGAAAAAAGGGGTAGAG